AAGCAGCCGGAATAGGCCGAAAATAGCATTATTAGTAATTAGCATGCCACTGATCTGAAAAGAGTAATGTAATTTAAGGTACTTAAAAGCATGTGGGTGAAGCGCAGCGAGACAGAGGGCTGGTGACATGAGCAGCACAGCTTGTAGGGGTGGGCGATAGAAACGATATGCGATAGAAACGATATAAACGATAGAGATTTTGACTATATTGCTCTATCACGATAGCGCATGTTGATGATGTCATCGAGCTGCGCCTGTTTTGGTCAAAAGCATCGCAGCGGCTAAAACCATTATCATCTGCAAATTATGGCGGGCGCCAGTCATAGTAAAGAGATGAAACACTTTTGAAATATGGGGAAAGCCAAAAACTGAGCTTCCTCCACTTCCATCGATTCATTAATCTTGAATTCTCTCGCAGCTGTTCTATTCCCCTTTTGTTGCAGTATATTAATAACTAACCTCGTATTATGGATGAATAATCTCAGTTGTTCTCCTGACTGAAGTTTGGCCCGTGTATAGCATCCTGCTATGCAATTGCATTTGTCCCCAACCACCAGAATCGTCACGTTAACTTTTATTGAGTGGGGAAAAAGTTGGCGTTCATCCTCCAGCTTCACTGTGCTAATGTTATGCTAACATAGCTGTGTCGCTAGCAATCACGTAGCACAACATTATATACCAGGTAGTCCAACTTCAGTAACCCTGCAAACGCCACTGCTGTTTAGTTTTCTGTCTTTATGTTGGAAGTGGTAGCAGAGCTATACGTTTTAATTAGTTTCAATAAATTTTCAGTCAGAACATGGTATGTCATGTTTAGGTGAAAACTAGCGAGCAAACCTCCTGTTAACTTCTAACTCCGTTAAATTTAATAAATTCTGTTTTCATGGATGTCTGAATGTTAAACTTAATTGTTACACCCCATAAAGCAGCAATGCTGATGATTTAATTAAAGATGAAAGAATTTAGACCGTTTTTAACTTGGTGTTCGTTTGACTTTGGGACCTGAAACTGACAGAGTTTTGGACCCAGATTACTCCGCAAAGCTCCTCACTACGGCAGCCGTAATGCTCTGACAATCCATCAAGCAGTGCGGCTTACCAAAGTTGTACTAAAACATTTTTAACAGATTTTTGCAGCCAAAATCGGTTCAAGGTCAGTAAGCACAACCAGAATTCATACATAAGGCACACTCTCGATTTTTGAGAAAATTAAAGGATTTTAAGTGTGCCTTATAGTGTGGAAAATACGTTATACAGAAGAAAATAATATATCGTGATATATATCGTTACCGCACATGCTTCAAATTATATCGCAATATGAATTTTAGGCCATATCGCCCAGCCCTAACAGCTTGTTCATTTGCATTCCTACGACTTGTAAACAGCAGACTGATCTTCTGAAACTCACCTCCTAGCCTTTGAATACCATTGAGACTTCCTTGGTTACTGAGAGAAGTGGCCTGCTGGAGCAGCTGTCAAGATATGAAAGAAAACAAAAGTCAAATCTAGAAAACAAAATTAGATCAGACATGATAATTAATATTACTTTTTCCTAACATTATTAAATCCTCTTTAAAATTGGGGACTAAAACTAAACTATTCACTGTTTGTCTAATCTGTGGAAAATTATCTGATGCACAGGAACAACTCGGGACCAAGATTTATACTCCATGTCATTATTTTGACAATGTTAGCAAGAGGCAACACATTTTGACCAGAAGGCAAAAGTTATGTGAGGTTTAAATTAAATAAACGGCACGACAGCTTTTACAGCTTCATGCAACAGGCTCAATGTCTCATTTTCGTCCTAGAAACATAAAACGCCTCAGCTGTTGCCATCTAAGTCACATGTTCTTTGGCTCTGAATTAGAGAAGGCATATGCAAGTCACATGTCAGTGTCCTTTAGCCAGGAAACAGTTCGAGGAGGAAGATTATTCTACTCCGAGCCAAGTTTCAGTTTGTACTTTTGGTCAAAGTATTGTGCAATATTCAGCTTACACAATGACCTTACACATTTTCAGCTTGCAACAGATTATTTTATTACTTAGAACAATATGGTTGGATACATCATACACAAAATGGCAGCCGTGTTTCCAGCTAGAACAGTCATTACCAAAACTTAAAACAAAAAAAAGGATCACCTGACCTCAATATCCTGACACAGGAACACATTCATAAAGCTTAGTGATAAAAATTCTTACATGCACGCTCACACACCCACTCACGGGATAGATTGATAATTATCAGGTGGTTCAGTGCTCTCTACCAAGTGTATTCTGTACACTCAATATATTTAAACAGATAAACTATAAAAGGTTTTAGTACATTAAGGCTAATCTGTGTGTTCTTTAATAAAACTCACAGCCAGGTACTGCGGTGAAAGAGTCCCCAGCCCAGCCAGGTTTCCCCAGGTGGAGGCGCTGTTGAGCTGCTGAATCTGCTGAACTAGCTGCTGCTGCAGGCGCCGTTGCTCCTTATCTCTCTGTGTGTCGGCAAACTTCACCACCAGAGGTGAGGAACAGCCCTGGAGCGGTGAAGAGTTAAGAGACGTTAGACCGGTTCAAAAGCACACCAAGTTTATTTACCCATGCAAGGACAGTCACTGCATAGGGATTTTTTTTTAATTTGTTTTTTTGTTTTTGTTTTGTTTTTAAAGGGGGGAGTGGGGTGGGTTTGGTTCCTCTATGCCTCAAGATAGTTGTATGCCTGTTGCATTCATATCAAAGCAAAAAGAGAGGACATGTGCCATGCATAGCTAAACCAGGCCACATTCCAAATAAATAAAAGCACAGGACAATGGTGCAGACGGTGAATCATTTAAGCACGTTAAAGAGTTTAATCGAGTCCACAAATAGGCAGACAACAGATGGACAACATTAACAATAAATAACATTCAAACAGGTATATGTCAGACATTAAGAAAAATGCATTACAATACGCAGACTCTCGCAAACAGACAGTCACATGTTCAGACAGACGCATGGACAAGGCATGCGGTGCAAAAGTATTTTAAGAGTTGAGAGCCAGATGGGGACCAGGCTGGTTAGGGAAAATGGCTTCTGCACCAGCAGCAACTCCCACAGCAGCTGAGAATCGGGGAGTACGTGATTGTGGGTGTAAAATAGGTGGCGCTGCTACTGGGGCCCCCCGAGTTTAATCTGGTAGGAGGAGTGTTATGTTTGGTTGGACTCCTAATTAGACTTGGTCTGATGCTTCACTGGGGAGCCTCTGACCTGCTAGCTGTCAAATTACCGCTGCTCTACTTCCACAAAGACTCCATTGGCTATGAGTACACAGACCCACTTTTTGAAGAAGTGTAATAGGGGAGCTGTTTCAGTCTGTTTTTTCCTGATAACCTATATTTGATAGTGTGGATTCTTTTCCCCTGTAGTCCAAAATACAGACTAATATAATGGCACGCTAATGGGTAGGCTCTGTTATTAGAATCAATAAGTGAAATGCATTTAGTTCAGCCCAAAATAAAAGATGACATTACTTTTTGTGTCCTGTTAGTTCTGAACTCAGCAGCTATGTAAAAGGCAATGTTTCGAGTTTTATTCAATTATTCTGCAGATGACAATGTAACTTTGTAATTAGCAAGAGTGGTTTTGGAAATGACTCATGCTTTGTGATGAATGGATGCCATCTGCTTGGACAAGTTCCTCATCTTTCAACACAAGGGGGCAGCAAAATGTATGGGGAAGGGGGGGGAGAGGGAAATGAGAAATAGGTGCTAAGGGGTACAGTACCTCCATAGTTTGAGAGTGATGCATGGTTTTGATTGCATTCTGTGCCATTGCCCTGGTAGCAAATGTGACAAACGCACAGCCTGTAGGGGGGAAACAATAGGAGAGGGGGAGGGGGGAGGGACAAGAAGAAACAAAAACAAGACAAAAGGTTTGGACAACTCGTTATGAACCCCAAAAAAGACATTACAGTACAGAGAATGGCAACTCCCAAGCACACAGAACCACCCTCACTGGTTAGCACATGAAGAAAGAACACAAAAAGGAGAACAGTAACACGTGTCACATGAGCGGTGATCGACGGATTAAATTGCCACCCAGAGAGGCTCGACTACGTGATGTCATGGTGAGACAGTCAACGTGATTATATACACAGAAAATGCACACATAAATACACACTGAAAGGCTTTGATTTACTAAAATATGCAAGGCCTGCAAACATCAAAGGCTAATAGGGCCCGTTTCAAATTGTAGGAACACTGCGTACGTATACTAGAAAAAGAGCAGAAATTCATGGCTAGCCGTGTCTTCTGTGGGATTTAATCGTATATAAGCATCGACGCTAGAGCCTCGTGCTGCCTGCTATCTGAGGCTTTATTCAGCAGAGTGCTATGTAGGAGATGCGATGACAGGCTAATTCCAGCCTTTGTAGAGTGTGATGAAGGAGGCGGTAAAGGAGGAGCTGAGCCGCCTGCCAGCTGAGCCTACGAACACCGGCAGCCAGCGGTTGCCTAGGCGACGGGCCATTGTGGCGGACAGCAAGTGCAGTGGCCCTTCACTGCGAGTTGTGGAGGCAGAGTGTCACAGTAATGGGAGGATACACTATGTGGACAGAAAAAGTGCCACTGGAGGTGAATAGCACTTGATCTGAGGGTGCTGGGTTGCAATGAAGAATCAGGGAGGGGCTCTGTATAAATACTTGATGAGAATATGTACTCTGGTGTGCTGAACATGGCGGATGCGCGGTGCTGAACATCATATCCACACCGAAGGCACGCTTACCTCTGCTCTGACCATCCGGTCCCCGAAGTATTCGGCACTCTTCGATCTGTCCGAAAGACGAGAACATCATTCTGACCTCGTTCTCACCGTATTTCTTTGAAACCATGCCGACAAAGAGTTTTCTGTCTTCTACCGCTGCAGGAAGACGAAAATAGGAAGGCTATTTAGTGAAACCCAAACAATTATGGCGCTGTGAAAGCAGCAGTTACATCAGGTGCGAAAATCTTGCACCCCTCTCTTTCTTGTTCAAGCAAGCGCTCTCCCTTTGTCATGCTGCCACATTTTCTGCCTCTCACTCAGAGTGCCAGCCTTTTGCACAAATCTCTGCGACTTGCCGCTTTGTTTTCCTTTTGTGTCTATTTCTCTAGACACAGAAGTATATCATCCTGTACCAGCTCTGCTCTTAAACCACTGCACTATATAGATGCTGTGTACTGCTGTCAATTTTACCCTTTTCAAAGCTCACACCCCATTTGCCTTTACCTAATCTTTCTCCTCAAAGGTTTTCCTCAACATCTCCATCTCATGGCTTACGTCATCCTGCATGAATCCACTTACCACTTGTTTTCTCACTGTCAGCGGGTTTCATCTGGATAGGATGATGCATCTAGGGGGGAAAAAAAGAAAATGTAGGGAAACCATTCACATCTGTCACCATTATAAACTCTGTTATCTCTCATCATAAAGGCCTCCTGTCTTCACTCATCCTTCCATCTTCGAGCATTTCTCCCCATCTCTTGTTTTGTTCTTTTGCCCTAAGACCATCATCCCTCACCGCCGCCAGATTCAGGAGGAAGTGTCTAAGAGTTGCTGGTAAGGGATCAAATTCTCCGGTATCCAATTTCACTTCTCGCTGTAATGTAGACTCGCGATTGAACTTATCGATTGCTACTGACAACATCCCTCATCTTCTATAGAAGAACTCTGGTTGACGAGCAAGCTTCTTTGGCATTGCTTTCGAAATGTACAGTGAGCTTCAGGTTTGGTTTCTTTTTTCCCTTCCTCCAGATACAAGTCTGTCAACACCCAATGCACAATTGGATCACATACTAATAGAACAAGGTGTGGCAAATCTGAGCTGTGAAAAATCTCATTTCAGTCAGCATAACATCTCTGAACATGACGCTTGTTCTCAAGCTTGTTATGTGAGAAAGTGGAGGCAGAGCAAATGCTGTCATTTCATGCCGCTTAATGAACAATTTTCTCCAAGAATACTGAACTTCGAGTGACTACATCTATAGCACACTGCATGCCATGTGACATGAAAGAAGAAATAAATCTAGCCATGAGATGTCTGAGCAGGTTGTACTTATGAAAAGTGGTGGGTTTGTTTTTGACAAGCACTAAGGAGAAGCAGACAGATGGCCTGCTCAGTATGGGGACTGGCTAGCGTCACTGACCAAGTAGAGAGAGGCACAGAAGGGAGAGAAAACAGAAACAGGGAAACAAGCTTTTCCTCTATCACGCAAATCAAAAATCAGTCAACTGCAGTCAATGCCAGTAACAGTAGGACCCAGGAATGGGATTTGAGAGCTGAGCCGTTAGACCACACTTTGTTTGAAATGTCTGCCTGATTGATAGTCTTCCAGAGAAGAGAGCTAGGACATTATTCTCAGCCTGCGAGACTCATTTATCAGCTCAGTTCAATATTTACCTGCAAGCTCACTGACAGTAGCACTTTTTACTGAAAGACTGGACTATTGGTTTCATCGACAGCTGGGGTTGTTGAGTATAGATTAAATTGATTGGAAAGCTGGCAATACAGAATGATGTATAGACAAGACAGTTTTGTGGATGTTTAACAAGCCACTGCACTTATTCCAGTTGGCTGGACTTTAATCTCACTAGAAGATTGGGTTAAGTATTAGGGGACCACACTCTGTCTCACCGGGCTGCATTGTTAAAACGGGGGGAGAGGGGAAAAAAAAAAAAAAAAAAAAGGACGAAAAGAAGGACTTCAACTTGCCTTCAGCTCCTTTCCTGCTTCTAATTTTGGGGAATAAAAATGTAGATGTGCATCAATAATTCATGAATACAAGCATTAATAATTTGTTCCACTTTGTGGCGATCGGGTCCTGTGTCTCAGTGAATAACCTGCAGCCTGGTCAAGCAGGCTTTACCCGATACCTGCACGCTTAGCAATTCAGTGTGCCGAGGTTCAGGCCGGTCCTAAGTGTCGCGTAAGTGATAGTGGGGGTTGAGACATTTCTCAGGCTAGACAGGCGTTCAGTGAACCGAGAGCTCATTATCGGCCAGCGTACAGCTCACAGCCTGCATCGGGGATGTAGTGGGGCTCAAGCAGCTAAAAGCAGCCCATGCTGTGCCTACTCACCCCACTTAAGGTCTTTATGTTGTGCAGTGCATTCTGGGCCTCCAGTGCAGCTTTTCTTGTATAAAAAGTTACAAAACAGCATCCTGCAGAGTGAAAAGAAAAAAGAAAAAAAAAGGAGGGACAAACAATGGGTGGAGGGAGGGAGGAGACAAAACTGCATTAAAAACACAGCACACAGACATTAAATGTAATACCATGACTGCTGCAGAACAGGAAAGATGCTAAATGGATGAAAGTACTTTCACCACATATCATATTTTAGAAGCACGTGACAGGATATTCTTAGCGCCAACTGTTAGATGGTGCACATACACCATGTAGGAGCTGGCAGCGAGGACAAAGGAGTAATGAGACAGCTGAAGGCTGTGACACAGCCAGAGAGAGTACCACAGGGTTAGATGGCTGTCAGGAGGCACTGATGTGCAGTCGGCAGGTCAACTCAGCCCAGGCCAACACATTGCATTGAGTATTGCTGCATTACATAAGAATCCAGTCCCATACATGTGTGCATACATATAAACATGAGGCATGAAAACAGCACAAAGAAACAAGAGGGAGTGGGAGAGAGCAAGGAAGAGAAACCATGGAAGGAGAGAGTTTGTGGGGGAGGGGAATGAAGAAAAGAGTGTTAGGAGGGGAGGAGAGGGAGAAAAGAAAAAAAGCCTCTCATCCTTCCGTCCCAGTAGACCGCCAGTGGCGTTCCAGCCTGTCAGTTTCACTGGGCTGGGGAAGTGGAGCACTGCAGCGTCTCTGACCTACATAGTGTGTATTATGCTGTTACTGGAGCTCCCAGGCCACGGGGAGGGCTGTTGAACTCTAATATGCATCAAGCTGCACTCTCCTATCCCTCCCTCTCTCTCTTTCTCTCTCACAACCAGCTGAGCTCTCCCTTTCTCTACTGCTAAGCCCGTTCTCTGATATACTGGAGCTAAATAAACCATCCAGAGAGGCGTGATAGTCATCAGATGATTTTTTCATGACCTGCAGTAGACATGACCTAAAAAACCAAAAAAACCAAAAAAAAAAAAAAAAACCAAAAAAAAACACCAGTGCAAATCTGGTGGCTTGTCAATTGATCTGCACAAAAGTAAACAAGCAAAAATGGAAGTGGGATTACAGCACTTTCAACAAATAAATCAAACAAAAGCAACATGATTATATAAGAGTTGGTTGGAGAGTGGCATTGTGTGGCATGCAAATAAACAACAGCCAGACTATCAGTAGGTCATTGATGAAACTGCAGTAGGAAACAAAACTGCTGTGAAAGGAGGCCTACAGTGAAACTGAGCGTAGAGGTGTTGCTGCAAAACACATTCAACTTCACTTGGCTGGGTGAAAAACCTCCTGTGATCAGGCCTGATTATCTAATAGAATACATTAACATGTCCATAGGCCATCACAGCTGACACTGCATAGAGCAGGGGAGGGGTGCTGCTTAAACAATAAGGAGCTTTGAACTCTTCAGCCTCCCAAATGAACTGCACAGTGTTGTGTGTATATTTATACACACACACACAGCATTATAAGAACCCTGGGGACTTTCTGGTACACCTGTAAACACTCGTAGGATTATTTAGTGGTGTTACATGTGTGTACATCTGTTCCAAGGCCCTTATCATGGGAATTCAAATCCTCTCCTGGTGGCATGCTGTCCAGCAGTTTTGGCCTTGACACAATAAAGTCAGGGTTTGAAACCCGCTTTAGTCAATGGGCCACATATAGCCCAATTGGACCTCAAGTGAGCCAGACCAATAGAACAGCCCTTTTTGTTAATTTAAATAGTATTTATATTTTAAGGTAAGACATCTATTCAAAAAATAAAAAATTAACACAAACAGATAAAGTGATACATGCAATTTCTAACATGTAGAAAGTTACACATTTCACTGCAGTTGTTGCCAGTCAAAAGATATCCAGTATGTCTTTAGGTCACATGTTTGACACTCAAGGCTCTTTCAGAACAAATGGTGAAATTGTGATATGTCTGAATTTAGTGCAGGTCTAATAAATGCCATGTCACAAGTTTATTTTCATCTATTTAGCATCTTTCCTGCTCTGCAAGCTTATTTTGTTGCTATATTGCTCTAAACCCAGAAAAAACACAAGACAGGATAAGTTACTCATTAATTAAAAAACCCACTTCTGCAACAAATTGAGACAGAATGTCTGCACATTACAAGATAATATAACCTTTTTCTTTTTAAATTACAGTTGTGCAGCCGATGTTTACAAGAATACTAGAAAAGGAGATCCCAGAAAGACATTTATCTCTCCAGACGGTGCAACTGTTGTCAACCCGTCTTTGGCTTGTTAACAGCAACACACACACGATCAGCAAGGTAGTGTCAGTGATTCATAACAGCCAAACACCTCACAACAACTACATCTGGCCTGGATTGCCAGGGCGGTGTCTGGTAGCACAAATATGGTTCCTTTTAGACTCAAGCTCAGCATCAAGTATAGTCCCACCACATTAAAAGCCAAGAGTGGTTTAGCGCCTTTAGCTACAGCAAATCATCCAACCATCAAGGGAACTGAGATTTGGGTGACCCAGGACAGTTACATCAGGGAAACTGTCGTTACTTTATTCACCTGCAGTTAGTTACGGGAGACCAAGCACTTCCAGTGGCACTTTGCAGCTCTCTGCAGACAGCAGGCTTCCACTTCACCGTCTCCTCTAATTGCAGCCTAAACTGAATCGCTCAACTCGAGCACCATTTCTAAGGTGAGCGCATCGATGGATGTCTTAATGGAAAATTGCAGTCAAGTAACACTCCCTTTGTACAATGCTGCTTCTAAAGCTGCATTGTACAAAGAAGAGGGAATTTAGAATATATGAATATTAAAAAAAAAAAAAAAAAGATTATTTAACCCTGAAACAAAAGACTGCTTGCATATGAGGTGATCTAACACAAACACAGCTGCACTGCATGTGCAGACAGGCAGTGCATTGCCTAAGTGCTAAAATCTGAAAGCAGATGAGGAGAGAAGGGGTTTGCACCAACTTATGCCGGGCTCACACTGTGCGATTTTGTCAGTCGCACAATTCAGCTCCTGCTCAAACTGTACGATTGACTCGCAGGGGTTAGAAGTTCGTAGGTCACGATGCAGGGTCTCACACTATACGACCCGATGCTCTGATGCGACCTGAGTGCTCACACTGTGCGTCCATAAAATGAAGGTTATAACAGAAATTCTGTCGCTCGCTCTCCCTCTGTCTTTCACTCACACAGACACGCACACCACCGCCATCAACTTTGCTAAATTGCTAATGAAAAACACTGATCAGGCAGCTGTGATTGAGCAGCAATGTCTATCCAACTATTTTCACGGTTGTTGTGGTCGTGATAATTTTGTGAGGCCACATCGAAAAGGCTCAGATGAGCTTTCCAAAGTTCTACTAGTGCCTCCATCGCTTGTGTCCAGATCACACGCTGCACTGCCGTGCTGCGCCGTCTTTTTCGCTGACATTTGTGTTTGCGCGTGCGCAGTGTGAGAAACTGCGTTGACACCCTCACGACGGTTGCGAGGATTTCAAACAGGTTTGAAATCCTCACGACCAAGCGATTGATGATCGGGAGCTGGTCGTGAGGTGTTAATCGCTTCTCGTTACCCCACGTATACTACACGATGCACGACGCACGATGAAGGCCAAAATCGGGCCGATCGCCAAAACGGTCGCACGACTCAAAAATCGGCTCAAAATGGGCCAAAAAACGCACAGTGTGAGCTCTGCTCACACTGAGCTGCACAGTGCACAATGTGAGCTCATAGAGCTCACACTGTGCACTGTCTCATAAGAGACCAAGTTGTTTTTGTCTATGAGCAATGAAGGTTTTCCAGCAAGTTTCACACCTAATTAGTGTCCATCTCTTATTAGAGATGGTATATAGAGTGAAAGTGAACAATAGAGAAACTGAAAGTATCATCTGAGCTTTTCAGTTGTGTCACTTCATTTAAACAGATTGCAATGCACGCCTCAAATACCTGCAGACTGCTGTTAGCATGCTACATGCTATACTAGTTTTCCCCACTAGCAACTGGTGCACTCCTCCTCACATATGGCAAAACAAACAAAACAGGTTTTTAAGATAATCTGGATGATACATAATCCAATGTTTTCAATTAAAATAAAATGATTATATGCCAGATCGTTTATATTGAAATCTAAATCACTAAGGAGAAATTTTGCCTGCAAGGTAGTAGAACAAATTATTCCTGAAAGTAAACTTTCACTCAGACTGTACCTTTGCTCTGAGGAGGATTCTGAGTGCGATCACGAAGAATGTTTATCTGGTGCACGGCTCCAAAGGGCTCAAATAGCTCTTTAAGTTCTGTTTCTGACCAGGAGCGGGGGATCTGTCCAACAAACATCTTGATGGAGTCAGGGTCTGGCTGGTCCAAGTGCTCCAACGACCCGTTCATCTTGCTGCTGCTGCCGTTGCTAAAAAAAAGAGAAAGAAATGAAAAACAATTTTTGTAATGTGTATGCCAGAGGTTAAACAAATTTAATATCATAATTCAAGTAATTGCAGGCAACCCATACTGCTTCAGTAAGTCACGAAAAGTAAAGGAACAATTACCATTATCTGGTTTAGAACCACTTGCACTCACATTTAAGGACTGTCCCGTTTGGCAGCTAACAATTTAATTTAATTTTCAAGCTCAGCTTAAAGGAATGTGTCACATAATGATAGATGGGGATGGGAATTGAGAACGAGTTCTTGCAGAAAATCGGTTCCTAGTAGTCCCATTTCTTGGAATTGTTTGTTCTTCCCAGGGATCCCCCTTATCTGCTCTCACACTCACTACAACCAGCTGATTTCTGTTTGCAAAATGGAAAAGTGTGGGACCGGGGGGGGGGGCAGAGCCACTGCAAGGGGGGCGCAGTACGAAAAGACAAAAAAGAACCCTTGGACGCTGCTAGCATCATTGACAGGTTTTTGACGGGGCTCCCACACAAACGCAAAGCTGGAGATGAAGCATCGCCAAATATGTTTCCAAACCATCTTCCTTCCAAGCCAAATGCTAGAAAATATGATGAAGCATGTCTTCCCTTTGGCTTCACCGACACAAGTGCCGAGGTAGGTCTCTGCGACAGAATTAGTTTCCCTTGCGTCGGGAGCACGCGCTGGGCTCTTCAAATCATGGACAAACAGTATCCCACATTCTTAGAACATTTTTCTTGTAAAACAAAGGGGGGCCCAGCAAAAAAAGTTTGGGAACCACTGGTCTAGAGGATGGATATGCACTTTTTTTTTTCTTCTTTTTTTTTTTAAATTAATTGCACATAAGGACAAGATAAATGGTGGACAAATGTATGCAGGACAGAAATAACTGCATAATACTGCTAACACAACTTTGGTTCTTTGCAAGCATCTGCCAAAACAGCATGCTATTGCTAAGCTAGCCAAGAACCCAGAGTGAAAGCCGAGTGAATACCCACCCCAGCTGCCAGACCCTGAGCTTCAACAGGCAACAAGCACATGAGCAGCCTCCCTTTCTACCCGTTCACGTTTCTAAAGCAGAATCACTTTGTATTCTATTAAGAGAAAAATCTTAGAGATGTGCCCTCATTACAGATTTGTATTGGTGTGTGGGGTTGTAGCCTCAGGTTTGTATTGTTAAATGGTGATTATGAAACAGTAAAATAGCTGAAATGCACTGAGTAACATGAAAGTAATGTAATCAGTAGTATAACAAATTACTCTTTCCCAGGACTAATTAAGTAATGTACTGCATTACTTTTAAGAAAAGTGTTCTGTGTAATATGTGTAACAATGATGTTTTTGAGTAAAGACTCCAACACCGATTACAACAAAGAAGAAATACCTCTTTGAACATTTGACGCACATCATGTAATTAAGTTGCATGAATGTAATTTATTGCTACTTAAGCAACGGTTTTCACTCTCAAAACTGAGCCAAAGAGAACCTAATGACAATCGATAAGGAATCTAATTAATAAGTGATATTGATAGTGGAATTGCTAAATTCTTATCAATTTCCATCCCTAAAATAAATATCTAATGCAAATTTTAGAGTGGCACAGAAAGGGCCTGGGCAAATGATCAGCTTCGATGAGTTATTCTTCCAGCAAAAAGGCGATGTCACAATAGTGCCAGTAGTTCAGAGAGATTTAAACAGCCATAATGCTGCTTTCTTCTAGAGGCTGAAATTTAGAAAGTCACTAAGGTCATTTAATTTAGAAGCACGTGACAGGATATTCTTGGCGCCAACTGTTAGATGGCGCACATACACCATGTATGTATATCTGTTTATTAGGGGTGCAACGATACACAAAATTCACGGTTCGGTTCGATACTTTGGTGTCACGGTTTGATATTTTTTCGATACAAAAAAAAAATGTTCATGCCTTTTTAATTTGTCATTTATTAAAATTATAAATATATATTTTAACTCAAAAGTACAGTTTTTA